GAGGCTGCTGTCGGCTCCGGCTGTGTCCCCGGAGCAGCGGTGGCCCAGCCCACCGCTCCAGTCAGGAACAGGGCAGCTGGGGGGCACTGGGGCAGCCCCAGCCCCGGGCACTGGGCACCTCCATGGGGATGGGGCCAGGCCAAGGCCAGGCCGGGGTGCCAGCCTGCGGGTGGGTGTCAGGATCGGGCCCAGCGAGGGGAACTGGGGTCAGACACAGCATCGGTGTCCTCAGGGCCCAGGGAGTTGTGTAACGCCCTGCGATTCCATCTCATCCTTTAATCACACCAACATCCTACGTTTTGCAACAATTAACTATCTGATACATTTGACAAGGTTTTGTAACGTCCAGAGGCAGCAGAAACATTTTTGTTTTGAAAGGTATCACCCGAAGGTTGCAGGAAAGTACCAGTTGCAAGTATCGAGTGTCAGGGCTGCACTTCTGACTCTTGCCGGGGTCTGCGTGCTCTCTGCCAGGACATAAAACCTCCATTCTTGTGGGCCAGTTTCTGTTCCCTTCTTTCTCGACCGAAAGCCTAGCAGACCAGAGACTCAGATCATTCCGCCCTTCGAGAGGCACTTTGGCAGCCAACACATTAGCTTGTTAGCCCATGCTAACGCTCCCCAAGGCAAAATGCAGGTTGTAATTACATGCCGGTAATGTTGACAACAGAGTCCTAGCAGTGCATTAAGGCAGCCCCCGAAAGGCCTACCGAAAAAAAAAAAAAAAAAAAAAAAGAAATGGAAAATGAAAGCTCATTTTCCCGGATGCACCGGGCTGCGTGCGCGTCTGTCTGTGCGCTCAGGCTGCGGGGCCAGCGTTTTCTGTTTTCCCTCACCGTTTACTCGGCGTGAGGGGCTCTCTGTGCCGTGGGTACGGGGGTCCTAGAGCTGGCCAGGGGGCCCGGAGCCCGGGTCAGAGGGGCTGGAAGCGGCGGTGCAGCACCTGGCGGGACGCAGCGGGTCCCTGCTGCGAGGGCACGCACCACCCAACGTCACCCAACGCCAAACTGGGCGTCTTCCCCCTCCCAGCAGCGTGGGGCCGGGGCCGTGCCGCCCGGCTGCCGGCAGACACAGGGGCTGCTTCCACGGGACACGCGGTGATTGACCCGTTTCTTCGCCTGCTTGGCTCTTGCCTCTTCCCTAAAGCCAGAGCTTTTCCAAGCCCTTGATGCTGCAAGCGACCACCGGTGCCTCATCCCGCCTGGTCCCTGGGGTCTCCGCTTCCAACCTGCGCCCGTGTCTTCCAAAGCCTTTGCTGTCACCACGTCCCTGACCACTGAAAAGACGCCTGCGAGAGAGCTCTGCCCCACAGAGCACAGTCTGACGGCACCAGCCGGCCCGGGGCCAGTGGCCACCGAGCCAAAGCCGACCCCCTCCAGCGCTGCGCCGAGGGAAGGGGAGCTGTTCTTGCTAAAACCGCTGAGGTTTCCATGGAAGGGATTTAACCAGAAGCTGTAAGCAGAGAATTACTCATCATCATGACAGAATATTTGAAAACTAAATTTGCACTTTTCTACAGAGGTTTGCTTTCAAGAGAAAAAGGAAAACGATAGTTATTTGAAAGTCCATGGTGCGTTAAAGAATTAGCTGTTAAGTGAAAACTGCTTGCTCTTCCTATCCGCTGTGTTTGAACAAGAAATCAAAACACAATAAAAAGAAAGCATGTTAAACTTCCCAGCACGCACCACGTGAGTACCAAGGCGTCACTGAGAATTTCTATCAATCGTTCGGATTTTGTTTCTGAAACATGCTTTTACATGGAGGAAACTTTTACCTCGAGTGTTAACTTTACCTCCCTTAAAAGCTTTTATTTACATTCATTTTTATTCATCTTTAGTAAGCTGCATAGGAAAATCTTTCAACTGCTGCCGTCAGAGCAGCAAATAAAGCAGTCCAGTGCAGAAATTCAGCTTACAGAATGTTTATTTTTATGAAACTGTGATATCCTGAACCATTTATAGATGAAAATGTGAAGCGGCATTTAACTGAACATTCCGGTTTCGGTCAAATCCTCACACAATTCTATATTCTTTAAAATGGAATGCAATGCTTGTTGTGTCCCTCCAGGGTGGAAGAAGTTCATTCTAAAACTAAAAGACGTCAAGATAAAGAAACATGACCACTTGCTCTCTTAGCCAGACCAGAGTAATGAGAAAAATTCCTGTATTAGCAAGTCAGGGAAGAGGCAGCTATTTTGCACTGGGAGGTGCTGGTTCATTATGATCACAGTAAGAAAGGCACTAAGGCGCCTTAAAGCGTCACTGAAAATGCTAATTATTAGAGCTAAGACCATAAAGAGAGGATAGCGTAGATACCCTTGGGTCCCTTTAGATGCTGGGAACCGCAAGCTGTGCGGCACCAAAGAGGCTTCCCACCAGCGTGCAGCATGCCCCCCGCGGAAGGGTTACCCCACCTTGGTCATCCGAGATGCTACAGGATTGCCTTCGAAGAAAACAGCCCTGCTCATCATTTGTACCCCCAGGCAGGAAGGAGCTTTGTGTGAGAACTCACCCCCCCACCCCCCGGGCAGACCCCTGGCCACCACCAGCCAGGGCAGCTCGCCCTGCAGCCAAGCACCGTACACCCCGAGGTACCGGGCAGCGCGGCGCGGGCCGGTGCAGGTTAACTGCCACGGGGACTCAGCAGCTCTGACAGACCCACTGCTGGCCCAGAGCGTCCCTCCTCCTCCTCAGAACCGCTCTGAAACTTGGCGTGACAAATCCTCCACCTTCTCCGGAGCAGCCCCTGCCTTCAGACTGAAAAATCTGGTTAAACTCTTTAAATCTGGCAAGGAGTTCAGAGAAGAGGGTCAAACTTTCCAGGGCGTCCATCAAACCCCACAACTTGGTTGTTCCCAGTCTCAGACCTCTCCTCAGCAATCCTCAGCAGATTCTTCTGATGGTTCACTGCTGTGCTTGGAGCTGCTCAGGCTCTTTGCACCCAAATGTCCACTTCTCCCCCAGCCAGCTCTCTGCTTTCCCCCAGCCGGCCCTGCCTGAGCACAACCCTTCCTCGCTTGCTCTGCAAAGGCACCACAACTTCTTCCTCTATTCTTTCATGGAGCATCTGCCATGGCACAGGCACATGAAGGCGTGCAAGGGCTTCGTTCCTGCTCGGCATGGAGCTGCAACCCACACGGGTTCAGGAGGCAGAAGTAAAGGTGGTAAAGGCAGAAGACCCTGTGGCACCAGTATGGTCATGGGGAAGCCAGTTTGGTCGGGGTTTCGTAGCAGGAAGCTGCAAGATGCAAGGCATGCTGCACGGCTCGTTGCTGTTCTCACCTGTGAGAGCTCTCCCTTGCCCCTTGCTCTTTTTGTCGGGCGCTGGGGCTTCCCACAGGCCTGGAAGAGACCTGAGCTCTAACCCCAACCCTAACCCGAGCTCAAAGACCGAAGGCACGCAGCAGAAATCCCGCTGAACGCTTTGGGTCAAGTCACGCACCCAGCCCACCGCAATCTCCCCTCGATATCGCGCTGCCACCACCCAGCACCAGAGCCCCCCACCCCTCCCCTCCCCTCCCATCCTGCCCCCGAGCCCGCAGCCATCACCCCGCTCAGGTGAGGAACCCCGGTGGGGCCGGGACCGGGGGTGCCCCGCCAGGCCCCTCGTGGGGGCAGCCCTGGCCCCCGGCATGGCGAGAGCTGCCCCGGGCCGCGCCAGCCCGCACCCCGAGTGTGGGGTGGCGGGGGAGGAGAGACCCATGGCCACCACCCGAACCCGGTCCTGACCCCAACGCTGACTCCGATAGCGACCCCAACCCCGATTCCAACCCTGACCCCAACCCTGGTCTCAGTCCTGACCACCACCCCAATACTGACCCCGACCCCGGTCCCAATCCTGACCCCGATCCCAGTCCTGACCTCGGTCCCAACTCCAATCCCGGCCCTGACCCCAATCCTGACCCCGATCTCAATCCCAACCCCAACCCCAGTCCTGATCCCATCCTGATCCCGGTCCTGTCCCCAGTCCCGATCCCATTCCAACCCCAATCCCAATCCCCACCCCAGTCTCGATCCCGGTCCAGACCCCGATCCTGATCTGGATCCCATCCCGATCCTCACCCCAACCTCAAACCCGACCCTGACCCCGATCCCATCCCATCCCGACCCTGAGCCCATCCCAAACCCGGTCCTGACCCCGATCCCGATCCTGCCCTGACCTCAGCACTGATCCTGGTCCTGACCCTGGTTCCAATTACATCCCAATTCCGTCCCGACGCCGACTCCAATCCCATCCCAGTCCCAACCCCGACCCCAACCCCGACCCCAACCCCGACCCCATCCCAATCCTATCCTGACCCCGACCCCGACCCCAGTCCTGATCCCTATCCCGATCCTGATCCCATCCCGACCCCAGTCCTGTCCCGATCCTGATTTTGATACCGATCCCAATCCCGATCCCAATCCCAATCCCGACCCCAATCCCAATCCCAATCCCAATCCCGATCCCAATCCCGATCCCTATCCCGATCCTGATCCCATCCCGACCCCAGTCCTGTCCCGATCCTGATTTTGATACCGATCCCAATCCCGATCCCAATCCCAATCCCAATCCCAATCCCAATCCCAATCCCGATCCCAATCCCAATCCCGATCCCGATCCCGATCCCAATCCCGATCCCAATCCCAATCCCAATCCCAATCCCAATCCCAATCCCAATCCCAATCCCAATCCCGATCCCGATCCCGATCCCGATCCCAATCCCAATCCCGATCCCAATCCCAATCCGATCCCAGTCTCAATCCCAATCCCGATCCCAATCCCAATCCCGATCCCGATCCCGATCCCAATCCCGATCCCGATCCCGATCCCGATCCCGATCCCGATCCAGAGCCGACCCCCCCTAGCGGCCGGCTCGAGACTCCCGCCACTCGCGCTCCTACCCCGCTCCCCTCCCCCCCTTAGCCCCGCCCACTACCCGGGGGCGGGGCCCGGGCGGCCGCGGGGCGGGGCTACCCTGCTCGGGGGGCGGGGCTGATCCCCGCTCCGGGGCGGGGCCGGATGGCGGCGCGGCGCTCCCGCGTGACGGCGCCGGGACCGGAAGCAGGCGGAAGTACTTCCGGCTCGGCGCGTCCCGGTGCGGCCGGCAGTGAGTACGGACCGGCGCCGGCACCGCCCGCCCGGACACCCCCTTCCCCCCCCCCCCCCCACCCCGCACCCCCTCCCCGAACCCCCGTGAGGGCCGCGCCTGCCCCCGCCAGCCCCCCCGGCGGGGCCCGTCGCGCCGCGGCCTGCGCCGGCTTAGCCCTTCCCTCCGGGGCCGCTGTCGCGGCGGCCGTGGGGGGGGTGTGGGGGGGGGTGCGGGGGGGTGAGCACCGTCGGCGCGAAGCCTCCTTGCCATTAAACAGATGTGCGAGCCACCGCCTTTAGTGTCCGTGTCTGTCTGTGCCGGCAGCGCGTCCCGGGGGTCCCGCCGGGGCCGGTGCGGAGCGGGGGGGGGGGAGGGGCTGTCCCCCCAACCGGCTCCATTCGCTCGCCCCCCTGCTGCCCCCCCGCACGCCCGGGATTGCTGTTTGCCTTCGCCCCGTTCGGCCTCGCTCCGAGGGAAAAAAAAAAAGCAGATCTGTTAATTTGAGGATGTTTGTGCAGTTGAGCACGGTTCTGAAAAATGGCTAAGGGGCAAAAAAAAAAAAAAAAAAAAATTCTCCCAAAAGGCTTGAAGTAAACTTGGAATATTTTGTTATTTTCCAGGGTTTGGGTGTGGAAGATATATTCCTGTGATCTCCTGAAGGTATAGCTTGTCACTAGAAAAACATTTACCTCCTCTCCAAAGCTTTTCTTCTCTCTTTTACACTTACCTGCACTGTGTTTAAAGCAAGTACAGAAAAGAAATGTTTTCCCAAGCACACAGCAAGTCAACATGAGTTTTACACCTCAGCACTGAGCAGCACAAGTTATCCTTGGAAGACTAGGTTTAGCCAAAAATAACCAGTAGCTAATGTCACCATTAGAGCAGCTTTATGGTGCTGCCGACCTTTTTCTGGGCTACTTGAAACGGAGACAGCGGCCACATGCAGCTCGTACTTGTCAGGGCTTGCTTTGTGAAAACCAAGGGGGTGGCTGCCCCGGAATCCACCTCGTGGCATTTTAAAATATTTCACTGTGAGGACATTTAGGTGTGGGGAGCGACTGCAGTGTCCAATGGCTGCACATCTCACCATGGGTGGAAACTAAAAACTTTCTTTCTCACCTGCTTTGAATGCAGCTTGGTTGTCCCCGAAAGCCAAAATAAGATCTGTGTTATGTTTGGTAGAGAAACGCAGTATGGGTGAAGGAAGAAGCTGTCCCTGACATTGACCTCTGACAATAAACATATATTGTGGGGCTTTTTTGTTTAAGTTACTTGCAGCTTTGACATTTGCATACTTTCATAGGGTAGCAAGAACAAACGTGATTTTTCGTTTTGGTGCTGCGCTTCACAACAGTATTTTTTATTGCTTATCTCTCCCAGAAAAGAGGTGATGCAACTTCTGATGGAGTGTACAAAAGTAGTTACAGCAGCTGAAATGAAAGATTTACATTTAACCACATTTGAACATTTAGGTTCTTTATCATTTTCATATTGGTTGTACCCTTGCAGTATAAGAGTCTAAAGTACTAGGCAGTTTATGCATCACAAATATGAGTAAATAGAAAACTGAGGAAAGGTCTAGTCTGCACACAACTATAACGTCTGCTGATGCCTCCTGCTATTCTGATGTCTGAACCTCTGTTCTGGTAGATACTTGTGGTTTTAGGAAATTTTTGATAATTTCCTCGAAAGACCTTTCTTTTCCATTTTATTGTTGTTCCCATCTGCAACAGAGAGTTCGATGATAGTTCCATGTCTTGTCTTTACCTCCTAAGACAGCAAAGAATACACTTGTTGCTGTACTTCCAACACAGCATTTATCGTAAAGTGTTATATTTGACATTACGGCAAAGATCAAGCAGAGAACAGGAAGAATAAGGAAATATTTGGAATTCACTGGCAATTTGTGGTGGGAATAGTACACTTGTCTGACAAGTCATATCTGCAAAGGATGAAAAACTCATCTTTTTTGCACTTCATTTTTTGAGAGCTTTTTCTTTTGAGAAATCTCACTGTTTTAATTTATGCCGAATGCATGTTCCAAACGGCAAGAAGAGAGGAAAAGGTTACCATGTGATCTCTGAAAGATTTTAGGAGTTGAGTAAGTAAGAGCAGCAGAAGTAATGAAGTTAAGCAGAGGGAAGGAGGGGTTGGTAAGGGGAAGCAAGGTATGGGAAGCAGGAATGGCATGGGAAGGACTGGCATGGGCATCTTACTGGCCCTTGCAAGGCCCCTACTGCACTTACCTTACACCCGAGCGCCCCAAACTGCTTTGAAATTTTGGCAGAGGAAGTAGCTGCCTGCCTGAAACTTGAAAACTGCAGTGGGTGTGCTGATTAACTTGTTTGTGCTCTTTCTCTGCCTGCAAGTCACCATCGGCACCTCCTTTCTGACTGCACTGCTGACAGTTCTTGTTACTTTATCAAGTGGAGGATGTTGGTTGTTTTTTTTTTTTTTTTTTAATGGACTAGACAAAAAGCTGGCGAGCAGTCTTTGTAAATGATCTGGGAGAATGATCTCCTGCCTTTTCTAATCAAAGCCATCTGGAGTTTTGTTCATAAATGGTTAAAAGAAATTCAGATAGCTGTAATTTTTAAAAATTTTCATAACATCAATAGCCCTTTACCTGAACTGTTCTTACATAGGGCCTACCAGAGAGGCAGTCGGGTACTTCTGAGGAAATTTGTGCTCTGGGCTCAGGTAGGAATGGGATTCCTCTTGATGAAGGGATGGGGTTCTTCTGTGTCCTAGGGTTTGAAGCTTGGGAATTTTTTTTAAAAGTAAGGCAGGCCAGCTCCAAAGCGTGATGCATCGGTATGTTCTCTTCTCTGTAGCCTGTATTACCTGTCAAATCAGCGAATCTGTGCACAGCTGTTATTTTTAATGTGGTTTTCACACTCAGACATGAGGGATGTCTCTGTCATAGCCTAGCTGGTAGAAAGGACGGTTGCCCATAGTATAGACCTTTCACTGGAGAAAGGAACTTAAGTTGCTGAAGACTGGCAGTCAGGTATGTCTGAGTATCGGTATGAATATGGTAAGAGGCTGCTTCACTTTGGCAGTCTGAAAAACAGCAAAACTCTGTGAACTCCTCCTCCCTTTCCTGGAGGCATTGTTTTTGTCTGCTTTGATGCCACACACCTGAAACAGCTGTTTCTCACTCAGTGATGAAGAGGTAGGGCATAGCTATTGCCTGATTTTGAGGATGGTGATCAGTGGAACCAGGTATCTTCAGGTTGCGTTGTGATGCTGATGTTTGATGCTTCTTGCTTCCCAGTGGCCCACCATACGTGCTGAGCAAGAGGAAGAGCCCAGCCGTGTGCAGACCTGAGAGGAGGAGGAGGAGCCGTTGTTTGACCTGAGCTTCTGGGGAGGACAGATCAAAGTAAGTGCTGTGCCCTCCTGCCTCTTCTGACTCTTGCCTTCGTTATGAAGTGTCCATGAGTCAGCTCCTTGGGCGCTCTTTGACGCTCGTGATGCAGCAGTCTTCTTTAGCTGCGTGTTTTTGGTAATGGTCACGTACTTTGTGTGATTTTATCCAGTGGCTGACAGAATGGGAAGGAAACAGTGCTCGAATTAAGTTGGCTTTTTGAGTATCACTAAAATTGTGGCATGGTTCCACGGGATTCTTTAATTTCCTGCATTACCGAAGGTCTGTTTTCTCACATCCTGTAACCGCAGATTAATATTGTAATGTGCTTGATTGGAGCCAGCCCTGCTTTTATTTTCACCCCATGGATGGGAAGAGGATAAGACCTGTTTGAAAGAGTGACCCCATGTAAAGTTCAGATAAATGTTTGAGCATGGGTGCTTCATTTGGTCTGTCAGATGCTCTTCTGTCTTACTTTTTTACTGCCTACAGCTGTTCAGGTGGCCAGCGTTTTACTTTGTCCTGGTTTTGGCTGGGGTGGAGTTAATATTTCTTCTCAGTAGCTGCAATATTGCTGTGTTCTGGATTCAGTATGGATTTGGTATGAGAAAAATGCTGATAACACACTGATGGTTTTAGTTGTTGCTGAGAAATCCAGGACTTTTCACCTCCCCACGTCCTGCCCATGTGCAGGTACACAAGGAGCTGGGAGGGAGCACGGCCAGAGCACTGGACCCAAACTGAGCACTGAGATACTCTGTACCACATAACATCATGCTCACTGTATAGAGGAGGGGTGTCTGGGAAGAGGGGGGGTGCTCTTGCTCCTGGGATTGTGATTTCAGGATCTTCTCTGGGATCGCTGGCTGGGAACAGGCTGGGCGTCAGTCAGCTGGTGGTGAACAAGCACATTGTGCATCACTCGTTTGTATTTTCTAATACTCTTTTTGTTATTATTATTATTACTACATTTTATGTCAATTACTAAACTGTTTTTATCTCAACCTACGAGTCTCCTTACCTTTACCCCCTCAGTTCTCTCCCTCAGCCCATGGAAGGGGGAGAGTGAGTGAGCGGCTGTGTGGTACTTGGTGCTGGCCAGGTTTAAATCACAACTTTTTCCCCCCGTCTATGACATTCAAACCTAAATACTAGTATAAAATAGGTTTATTGTGTCTATTACCACTAAGTTCTGACCTCATTCTTTTGTATTTTATGTGGTATAATAGATAATACATTTACTTCAGAACCCGGAGGGGAGAGGCGAAGTCCAGCAGTTACAGAAATATCCACGTTATCCTCAGGTTGTTGCTGCACGCTTTGTGCTGCTAAGCGGAGTTCTGTGTTGGCAGGTGTCAAAGTTCCCGGGAGGTTACAGTCATTGTGTGGGTAGGCTAACTTCTAAAACAGATTCTGTACCCTCCACTGGTTAAGTGTTAGGTCTGTATTTGTAGGCTAGAAACCAACCTGACTGTATTAGGATGAGTAGAGTTTTGATGCTCTTTGGATGTGATCTCAGCCAGCAATGACCAAAGTGATTTCTTTAGCTGTGCAGGTGAGAATGAATCAGGTACGCTGCTCTACTGGGAGCCTAAACAGCAAAGAGTGCAGTGTATGGATTGTCAGAAAGCACTGCATTTTCCTGCTTGTGCATTCATGTTTTATGTGGTTTTGCTTTGTTTATTTTTTTGTTGGAAAAGTGATTTCGTCTTTAGTTTGACTTCTGGCATAACACAAATACAACTGAGATCAAATCTATCATGATCACGGAAGGACTTTTGCAGGGTGTGCACAGAAAGCTGTCACAAGAGCCTTCTGGTTCTTTAAATACCATCATCACACAAATTACTTCTGTACAAAGCTCCCGCATCTAAATTTTTGTACTTGTGTATCAGTTTGTGAATTTAAACAATACCATCCAACTTCCTTCCACAACTAAAAAACTGAATGCTCTCTGACTGTTCTCATGTCTAAAAAAGCTTGTTGGCTTCCCTGGGAGTAACTGTAACACAGAAATAAAGATAGACTTTTCAGAGAAAGGATTCCCTTTGCTCTCCTCCAAGCATGAGGTAGTCATGGAAATGAAATAAGGTATCCTATGCATTAGGTGAAGCAACTTCAGAATGTCTCTGAATTTCCTATCTCGCTAGAGAGTAGGTAGTGAACTGTAGAGGCGCTCACCATTGGGTTGGGTTGATGGGACAGCTGAGCTGGAAAGGAATCTCTGGCAACTGTTTCATCCAACCCCCTTGACTCAAAGCAGGGTGACCAAGAGCAGTGTGCCCAGGGCCGTCTCCAGCTGGGTTTTGAACATCTTGAAGGATGGAGGCTCCACAGCTTTTCTGGGCAACAGAGTAAAAAAGGGGTTTTTTGGACATTCAAGTGGAATTTCCTGTATTTTATTTTTTGTGTCTGTTGCCTCTCATCATGTTGCTGGACACTACTTGGAAGAGCATGTCTCTGTCTTAGTTACTTTCCCCCGTCAGGTACTTACGTACATCGATGAGATGCCCCTGAGCCTCCTCCTGGTGAGGACGAACAGTCCCAGTGGTTTCAGCCTGGCCCCACAGGGCAGGGGAGGCCAATCCCTTAATTGTTTTAGTGACCCTTCTCCACGCTCACTCCAGTGTAACCATCTCATCTAGTACTGGAGAGCCCAGAGCTGTAACCAGCACTCTAGATGTGGTCCCACAAGCGCTGACCAGGGCAGAAGGATAAACCTCAGTCTGCTGGCAGTGCTCTTCAGGAGCCCACGATGCTTTTTGTTCCAGAAGTGTGTTGGCTTCTGGTCAACTTGTCCCATCCCCAGGACCTTTTTTGCAAACCTGCTTTCCAGGCAGTGGTCCCCCAGCCCGTCTCCTTGCCAGGTGCAGGGCTTGGCCTTCTCCAGCCTGCGGAGGTACCTCCGAATGGCAGCACAACCATCTGGCATATCAACCACTCCTCTCAATTTTGCATCTTCTGCAAACTTGCTGAGGGTGTACTTTGTCCCATTGGCTAGCTCTTAGAGCGAATTTGTTTAAAAAAACAGTATTGCTGAACACATGAGAAGGGAAATTGGATCTTTAGTCATGAATCCACCAAAAAGGCTGTTAAAGGTTGTAGATAATTACTGCTTAACTGGTAGCAGCGGAGAGATGTCACAGCTAACGTTGAGCTGGGCAGGCACTGCAGGTGTATCCTCCTCAGGTATGAAAGCATTGTAGTTGCATTTTCATGGCACTGTAACTGTAAGTCCTGATGGGACAATGTGACATGCTAGTTTGTATGAAAGCTGCAGATTTGTATACGGCCTTTTTTTTTTTTTTTTTTTTTTTTTTTTAATGCTACCTTCAGACCTGAGCCTGTGGAGAGTATGTCCAGGTGCTTCCGTGTCATAGTCCTAGCACTTCGTAGAGTTAAATTCTGAAGTGCCAGTTCAGGTCACTCTGCAGCCCAAGTGTAGGCAGGCTCCAAATTACTTCTGTCAGATATTGCTGAATGTTCCTTCTGTGCTCTTTCAGGTATGTATATAAGGTGTTACTAAGTAAAACGAGTTGCAAAGTACTCAGGATTAATACTAGTTGGCAGAGCGATCAAGGCTTGGATTCAGGCACTCATTTGGCTCCCAATCCATGCAGGTACCTTGGTTTTGAACCCAGGATGGAGAGGAGCTGTGGAAGCTGAGAGCACATTAAGTGTAACTTTCAGAAGCTTCAGGTGGTACTTAAGATTAAACCAGCTGCACACTTAAGTAGCTTTTGCTATTATGGATTTGAGCATTAATTGCTGTAGCTGTTAAGTCTGCTCAGTTTTAGCTTCCATATGCAAACCTCTATGACTAAGCCTTCAGAAAGAAAGACCAAAGGTATCATTTGAAAGATGTTTTGGGGCATATGTTCGTGACCATTCTGATACAACCTTTTGTTTTTTTGTAGACACAGACTATTTGGTTTCCAGAATGTTTGTTGGATATGAAGACACCGACGATACTGATACATATGAAGATGAACTTTATCATGAGGAGTCATCCAGTGAGCAGAGCATTGATAGTGAGGTGGAATTCCATCTCTACAGCCAGATCCACTATTCCCAAAATCTTGGAGAAATCAGCATGCTGGAAATGGATGAAGAAGCCGACGTTGCAGGAGTCACGGGTCATAGTTCATCTCTAACTGAGAAATGGTCTGAAGACAAGGCAATCCCTGAAGTCATTGATTGTGATGCTGAGCTTTCAGATGATGATCCCGAGATCATCGTCTTGTCTGATACACCGGATGAAGACAGTGTTTACAAAAGCAAAGCAAAGAAGTCAACAAGCTCTTTAGCTGGAGGTGAAATACATAGCCATCTGGGATCTTCCACACCAAATTGTGCCAAAGCTGCTGGAGGTAATACCCTGTATCCTGCTGGATCAGGCACAGACATTTCCAGGCAAAGGAAGAGCACTACTGGGAAGCTTAACCCGGTTAGTTCAGCTGGAGCTCATGCCACCCAAGATGTGTTGGTAATAGATGACAGCTCAGATGAGGAGAGCTCGACATCTGGAAGTGATAATGTCGAGAGCTGGATGCTTTTGGGAGCCGGTGCAGATGACGGAGATGAAGATATAATGCTGAACCTTGAAGGCTGTGCAACTCCTGACAGTGAAGGTTAGTACTTTTTTTAATTGCTTGTTTATTTATCCATATGTGGGAGGATTTGTCTGCAACGATACTGATGTCAGTGTTTGAAAAGAAAGATAGACAGAAAGCAAACTGAAGTGCGTAATGATGGGTGCAAAACTATGATGAAGAAAATAACCATTTATTTATATTATAGCAATACCGTTACTTCATTAGTGACATATATGGAAAGATGGTGTTTTTGCTGGTAGAAATTTACAAGTAATACTGGAGTGATTCGTACTGTGAACTTTTCAACATTCTCATACATTTTGTATTCCTAAGAGCATGTAAGAAGTTGCAGGCAGGCCAGGGGGGTGAAATAAAGAGGGAATACAATGGTTTCTTACTGCAAACAAAGTAGGAAAAAAAAAAAAAGTTTGAGGACTAAAGACGTAAAAACCAGCGGTAGGAGCTGCGTAATGATAGGAAGTTTGCTGAGAAGTGCTACAGGGTAAGAGAGCAATCAGTGCTCACAACCCGGGGAGCAGTGGCATTCTTCTTTTCGGCTGGTGAGGTGCCTGCCCCGCTGCCTTGCCTTCTTGCCCCTCGGCAGGGCAGGGCCCGGGGCTTGCTCAGGCCTCGCTCTGTGCTAGACCAGAGAAATGACAACTCCGGAAAGGGAGGAACTGGAACGGGAGAGGGCAAGGGAGGGAGGGGGGCCCTTCTGAGCTGGTTCTCCTTCCTGAAGCAGATTCTGTAGCCGCTCCTTCAGGACTCTGGCAGTTTGGGCTAAAGTACACTGTCACTTCCTGGATGGATTCTGCATTGAGTAATTCAGAGAGATTCCCAACCACTAAGACTAACATTTTGGTGTTTTGCAAAATATTCTTCCACATTACAGTGCGGGAAGTTAGTGGATGTGATAGCACAACAGATTTTAGATACGTGCTTTTAATAACCATACCATGTAATACATATCTTGTCACCAGCAACTAAAAACTCTGTTAGGCCATCAGCTGTGCTTTTCTTCTTGCCCACTGGTTTCCTGAAGCACAAAGATCATTTCCAGAAGCAGCGTCCCCTGCCAGCCTGAGAGAAAACACTGCTTCGGTGGCAAGGCTGGCTGGGTAAGCTGCGGCACGGGGGATCTTTGCAAGACTTCTTTTTTTTTTTTTTCCATTTAAAAAAATAAAAAAAGTATACCATAATTTTACTTGGTGTATGTGTAAATGAGGTGGGTTTGTGTGGAGGGAAATGAAATGTTCTGCAGCACTGATCTACAGGCTGACACTGGTTAAGTTCTTCCTTGGGGTGTCTGTATAAACCGTGCTACTGTTCACGTGCTGCTGTTAAGGTGTTTGAGAGGGGAAAGCTGAGACATTGCCTTCTTTTCTGGTAAAACACTTGTTTCTTGCCTGTAAATGTTCAATAACTCTTTGCTTAGAGTTGTTCTTGTGTATGTTTTCACACAGCTGTCCATAGCCCATTGCTAAACAGACTGTAGTGTACACTTGATCTCAGATGGTCGATTAAAGGTGCCAGTGTGCTTGCCCACGCCTCAGAGATTTAAGAAACACTTTCCCTATTTCCAGTGCAATGCCAGAAGAATGGCAGAACGTTCAGTTGCCATGCCAGAACACAGACAGCCACATTGTATTTGGAATTTATGTAATTTTTTTCTCCCTATAAATCTTTTAAAACGCAGTTTCTAAGAATTAACTTGAAGTTGCTACATTTCATTAATAGCCTTCCTTTTGTATATTCATATCTTGTACTTTTCTTTGAAACTAGAGCTATTTAGCCTGTCTTTTTCTTAAATTACTCTGCCTTTTGGAGAGCAAATGTTCGGTGCCATGTGGTGACTGCTGCAACAGCAATGCAGTTTGTGTATAGCACAGTTAATACATTTTCTGGGTAGCGTTTATTTTTCTCATAACTGCTGGGCAGGCAAATGATGCGGAGTTAGGTTTCTTTTGTTCAGTTTACTCTGTGTATCTCCTTGGGTTTATGTATGAAAATTGCTGATGGTAGCACTAGGGATTACTCCAAAAAACAGAAGACAGAAAAATGTTTAAACAGTGCTTGAGACTTTAAGCATATTTCAAAATTACATATACACGTTTTGGGAAACTCTGCAATTAATTTATTGAAGTGATTATGCTTACTAGGTGTAACATGAAAATTCACGTCTTCATTCTTTCTGCTCTTTTAGAGAAGGTGTCCCAGTGCTAACTCACAGAGGCATTTAAAAATCAATACTGGAGGTTAATATCAAGGGATAGTTTTGCTAATTTATGGTATGTTTTTGTAACAAATGTAGTAATGCTTCTTATTCATATATATATATTAATAGACATTGGCAACACGTCACATTCAAAGCAGGTCACGGGAGCAGTACTCTCCTGCGCTGTATAAACTTGTCACACTGTTCCGAACTAAAACTGTTTCCTTTAATAAACCTTTTTTGCGATGCTCGAACGGGAGGCCACAGACAGGAGGCTCGTAAATGCAGCTGTTCTCCTCCCACTCTGATTTTCACTCCCCAAGCTGCGTCGGAACCTCCTCAGGACCCCTTCTGGCAGCCTGGCTCACCCCAGCAGCAGCTTGGCTGGCGGTGCGGTCCGACCCTCGCGCACGCACGTTTCCCTCTTCGTCTCAGCTGCTGCCTCTCCACGTGCGTGTGCCTCTGCAGAAAGCCTCGGCCTTTGCACACCCCCCCGGCCTGTGAGCAGGTGCACGGCGACCCGTTTGGCTCGGGCAGGGCAGAGCCCCGGGCGGGCGCGCACCCGAGGGGCAGCGGGGACCGCAGGGCCGGGCTCCGCTCACACCCCTGCTCCTCCACCGCATCCCAGATGCCAGGCAAACTTGTTCAGGCTGCTCCGGCGTGCAGGAGTTTGGCTCAGCTGCTCTGTTTCCAGTATGTACGGTGGTGGGGGTGCAAGGACACAGGCTTAAAATAAATGGGTGTTGTATGCATGTGCGTATGTAGCGAAAAGCCAAAACAGCGTCAAAACAGTTTTAGGGAACAAAAGCCATAAATCTTCCTAATGTGAAGAAGCTGTAATCTGATTACTGAGCTTACGCAGCATCGTATCTTCAGATCTGTAGACTACAGAGGACTCCTTTGCTGAAATGTAAACATTATAAATCTGAAGGAGGAAATGCATTTTGGGGAAAAAAAAAAAAAAAAAAGTGTGATGCCAAATTATCCTCTCAAAGATCTTCTCTGCTAATTCATTTAAATTATTTTGAGACGTGCGCCGTTCTGTCTTCAGCATTTCCAAAGAGCAAGATCAAGTATTTAGGTACCTACATGGTATGTAAATTACTACTTTGGGGCTTGTAGTACCAGTAAGGATGGACGTGGAGTGTAGGGACTGGTGAAGCCTTGCCTTTTCCCTTCTCCCCCGAAACTGCCTGTGACTGTGTAATGGGGATAGACCTCCCGTGACGGTGTCATGGTATGTCTAGTGTCCAGTTCGCTTCACATAAAAAAGGGAATGCAGACGTGAACAATTCTGTGACTATGAGAGTAGCCAGTTGTGTCAGTCATTTGATGAGTCTGTTTTCATATCTGAGTCCCTGAAGTAGAGATTCTTAGGCTCCACTGGAGTCAGATATAACTCCTCAAGGAAAGGAATTAGGTATATCTCCTTATTCTCTTAGCTCCTCTATGTCTTACGTGCCTGCCCTGCTCTTGTCTAACAGCTTTATTATTTTTAATATTCTCTATAAACAAATAATGCTTTCTTGATGCCTCCAATGTAGAGAGAGTCTTCTCCTCATACAGCCTTCTAGCTTCAGTCACTATGGTCTGCCGTGACAGAAGGAGATGTCCCCTTGCCTTGGGAAATGACCTCTGGTTCCTGATGGTAAACTAAGGTTCACCTGTACCCTCTGTCTTCAGTTGACACCTTTAAATGGACCGTGTGAACTATGGCTGGTCCACAAACACTGCTGTTCAGTACGCAGCTGAAAACTTTACCTCCTCCCCTTTCTGCTCTCTTTCCTAATGGCTTTAGATGCCTTTCACTTTTTATTTTTGCTTGTCTAATACTGCTGTATTTGCAACACTGTATTTGTGCCCATGTTTCTGTAAAATACAGCTTTTTGTCATGCGTCTGCTGGTTTCTCAGCACACAGGGCGCTGGCTTTCTTGTTTCACGTAGAGGGATACCAGGGGAAGCACCTGCTGTGTCCATGGTGGCTCTGTCCCTCCTTACTCAGACTTTGTTTTCCTGTGGTGGGATTGCCTGTAGCTTGAAGCAAACAGGCACCTGGATTACAGGTGGTTGGCCAAGCTGAAAGCCCGTGACCACGTACCTCTGTGTGTTACCTGCCCCCCACCTGGTCTTTGTGGGTTTCCTTGCGGGTTTCCTTGAGCAGCCTTTGGAAAAGCGCACACTGCTGCTGCTTGTTACTTTGCAAAAAAGGGTCCTACCTGCTTCCTAGGGTGCTTAAAAAACAGGTAATTCAGCAAATCTAGGTCTTTGGTATGATTTACCTGATTTTTTAAAGGTTTAGAGTCCAGAAGAAATTGTGCAAAGAGAATCGTTACAAACTGTACCATGTACTAAATGTCATGGATTAATTTTCAGTGTCAGAGAGTTTCCAGGTCTTTGAAGGAGGGTCTCACTTCTCACCCCTTTTCTCTACTTTGCATTAAGAGTATATATAAGAATGTTATATATACTTTCATTAAAAGCTTCCTTTTAACATAGCTCTTCTCCCATGTATAGCTGCAATCCTAATCTTTTTTTTTTTTTTTTTTTTTTTTAATTCACTGCTTTTGGAAAGACAGCTTTTGAAGCTGCAGCATTGATGTCCGGCCACTAAGGGGGTACAAAAAACAATTTATCTTCTCCCTGTTTCATCACCCTTTGCCCACCCAGTACTTTCCTCAGAGACAACGGGCTAATGTGATCGCACTCTGGGTTTGGCAGGTTTGTGGAGCGCGGTGCGTGTAGCTGGTTTTGAATCTGAAGCTTCTATAAAACAGCACGTAGGTGCTCTGCTGGCCTCCCAGAGAGGGAATGGCTGTTTTC